AAAATTCAGAATTAATTAAAGGTGAGAGTGTGCCAAAAGTCGCCAGGAGCTCAGTGCGAGAAAATGTTTGAAAACTTATAAAATTAAAATTTTTAAGTTCATCATTTCACTAAGTTAACGTAAAAGTGCGCAAAAGACAAAAGTTAAGAAATTAAGGTGCACAGCAAAAATCACCACGAACTCATTGTCAGTGCGAGAGAATGCGCTAGCAGTAGCGAAAGGGTTAACAGAATACAGTAGATATTTTAATAGAATTCAGGAAATTTCCATCGATTTTAGTGAAACTTGATAAATTTCAACAGAGTTCAGAGTAGATGTGAATTTAATGCACTAAATAGATTTCGATACACTTCACATTCCACGAATGTCCTAATACCTGCCGAAAACCCTCAAAGAAATATTCTTCAATGTACAAGAACGAAAAAAAAAAAAAAATAGAAAAATCGAAACGAAAAGAAAGCGATTCAGACCAGTTTCACAATCAACCAAAATGAACGCTTATCCAGGCGAGAAAAAGAAATCTTGTCACGTTGCACAAGTAACACTCGAAAATTCGCATTTTCTCGCCGAGCACTTGTGAATGCAACAATACATCGACGAATGATTACACATTTTTTTTTTTTTTTTCGTTAATTTTCAATTTTTAGAAAAGTTACGATGCGAGAAATTACGATGGATTTCGGTTAGAGTCGTGTTAAAAGAGTCTTGTGATTGTTCACACGTTGGAATTAAAATTCCTATTGTCTAGTAATTGTCTGGATGGATATGTAAAGGTCCAAATTTATGTACAATTCTTTCTCTCGCTTTTTTTTTTCTCTTTTCTTGCTTTCTTCTCGTTAAAAGGCAGTTAAGTGAGGGAGAGAGGTTACACCAGTTTCCTTTCGTTTTCTTCTTCTTCCCGGTTTAAAAACGTTTTTGCATTCATAAGTCCTCGAAGGATGTTTTCGAAAACGCATTTCGTCGCGAAATTGAACGTCGAACGAAATCACGAGATTAACGGTACACAACATTGTGATTCTGTGTATACACTGACTATCGTTTAACTTACATCGCTAAACACGTTTAAGATAGGGGCTCCGGTTATGTTTATACATTTTAGTCCCACGTTTAGGCGACGCGCGAGCTTCTCGATGAAACTGATTCATTCGTGCACACATTTTCGGGGGGGAAAATATTATCGAATTTTATGGCTGAAAGTTTGATTGCCGTCGAAGTGAAGTAACGAGAATGTAATGGTTGAGTTTTCGCGGACGTTCAGTTCTCTTTTGCATCGGATAAATTAATTTCGGATACGTCCCGAATCGTGCATTCGATAAATGGAAGAAGAACGAAGGAAAATTAGAGAACAGCTGTTCGTATCGAAATTTGAAGGACTTCTTTTAAAAATTTGCAAATATGAGATTTCATTAAAAAATATTACCCAATTTCTTTATTAAATTAATATTACAGCAAACTGGAAACTACGTTTGAAATATCAGAACGGTAAAATAAATATGAAAATTAGTATATTTTATCAAGTTGCCAAAGAAATATCATTTCAGAAATTATAAATGTTAATTGATTTCTTAGACGAAAGAAATTCGTTAGAAAATTCAGTACTGCAATTAACGTGAAATAAATTGACTCGTAAATTACGTTCAAATTGAAAACACTTTGCTGAATTAAACCGAAACTTTCACAAAATACAAGCACTCCGAATAATGTAGCATTAAAAGAAATCCAGAAATATATTTATCTGATTGAATTACGAAATTCAATTAACGTGAAATAAACTGACTCGTCAGTTACGTTCAAGTTAAAAACACCTCGCTGAATGAAGTTAAATTTCAACAGTATGACAAATCCCAAGCAAATCCGGAAATACGAAAAATCATAAATACTGCGTTTATCGATTTAAACTTTAACATTGATATGCATAAATCCAAGGTAAATCCAAAAATATGACAAATTACAAATATTACATTTATCGATGCAAATTCTGTGTCAATATACGTAAATGTAAAGCAGATCCAGAAATATGAAAAATGATAAATATTGTATTTATCAATGCGAATTCTGTATTAATGTGTGTAAATCCAAAGCAGATCCAGAAATATGAAAAATGATAAATACTATATTTATTAATTAGAACTCCGTATTAACCCTACTGCGTTCTTCGTTTTGACTTAAGACTTTTGGGTGAAAAAGAATCTAAGACCTTATGTGAAAGAATTTCTGTTTCCAACGCGACACATGAACCTAGACAATAAACGTTTAAAGTAATGTTAAGGAACGTAAACTTGGTCAACAGCAAAAATGACTGAAAATGTAAAAAAGCGGTGGGTCAAAAAAGACCCGAAGACCGCTCTAGGGTTAATATACGCAAATCGAAAGCAGATCCAGAAATACGAAAACTGATAAATATATTATTCATGAAATTTTCCAACCAATTACCTGCACCAATAAACCATATCCCACCGACAGCTCGACGAACGTCTGGAATCAAACGACGATCTAACACAGCACCGAGAAACACCCACCACGGTTCACCTACAAGTTTTCGCTTACCTACACGTATGTACACACCGCATGCACGTCTATATAGACACTCTTATCGTTTACAAATATCAAAAGGACTCGCCTGATTCTCTCCGTCTTCGCGGGACTTCGGTTCATCCCTCGTCCGTGTTTCGAGGCATTCCCCCTCTCGTGGTTCGCCTTTAGGGTTTGTTTTCAACCGACAGCGGTTCAAAGGCGAGCCGCGAGGGCGTTCGCAGAAAATAGAGTAAATTTCCGGGGTGATGTTGTCGAACGTGATTACGGAGCAAAGGGAAATTTTCTTCCAGCAGCCGTACTAATCAGAGTGAACGGAAACGACCGTGAACTTATCGTGGCATTGTCGTTGCAGCCTGGTGAAAATTATTCGGATTTGACGGGTGACGGTGAAAGAAAACGCGGCAGTTTTCAAAGACCAACTCCGAGTAACAAATTATAATGGAATTTAAGAAACCGAGCACGTAATCAAGTGACTGTTTAATCGTGTCATTAATTACGCGAGTAAATTGATACATAATGTCAATGTAATTTCAGGGAAGTGTGCTTCAAACGAATGTTTCCAAAGTATTTTCACTGGGAAAGGTACAAAAGGTAATGTTCCAACTTCCTTTTTTTCGACTGCAGCATTTCAATTATTGGATTCTGTTGGTACTTCCCTTGCACCCTTCCAATATAATCGATAAATTCGTGTCCGCTGTAATTTCACTTTTCGAAAGGAAGACGCATCCAATTTTGCCAATTTTGAAACAGCTCGGCAAAATTTCTCAATACCTCCGGATATTTTCCTCCGTTCATTAAACAGGCTTTCGGTTAAATTTCTGTGCTTAAAATGACACTAGCTTGCTTCAAAGTGAACGTCGAAATTAAGTCAATCGGTGTAATATTTTTCAGTAAAAACAGTTCTTCCACGGTAAATCGGAGAACATTTCATCTACTGTTGTCAATTTTGAATATTTATCATTCTACAAATACGAGTTCATATTGTTCTCCGATAAATACAACTCGAGAAATTCCAAAGAAAGTTCAGATTTAAGAATCTACTCTAAATTTAATCTCCCTACAGGCTTCAGCACTGTTTATAAAGGCAGTATCTTTGTTTGCATTTAGCTATAACAGAAATGTTCAATACGATATATTAAACTCGAGGGATTTTCAAAGTTCCACTACTCGAGCACCGGAAACAAGTTTATCGAGTACAATTTACTTTCTCATCTGCTTTCCGACTGCTTCCTCTGCTCAACTTTCCTCTGCGAAACGAACGAAATATCCTTCTGAAATATTTACTCCGCAATGAAGAGGTTATTAACCCTTTCGCTGCCTGCAGATTTTGGTACGTGCCGCATATTATCGCAAACGCATAAATGTCCAATCGTGGTCGCAAGATCTTTCTTCTCGATGTTTAAAAATTGTTCAAAAATTTTAGAATTAAAATTAACCCTTTGCGATCGGTGCCGCCATAGTGGCGGCATTTCAATTTTGTTCTAGAAATCGGTGTCGCCGCTATGGCGGCATGACCTGTGTTTTGTCAAGTATCATACTTTGGAAAATTATACACTATAACTAGTATGTATTAAACAAAATGTATCAGTTTCAAAATATTCTGTTTTTCAATATCCTTATATATATAATAAATAAACTATGCAAAAATAACTTTGAAAATTTAAATTTGCTTCGACTAGCTGATAGTCCAACCAGAGAAATGTGCCGATCGCAAAGGGTTAAAGAATCAAAATTTTTCAAGAATTTCAGAATTAAAAATCCAAGTAAAAATTTTCCAATCTGTCGTTTCAAAAGTTAAGGTAGAAGTACGCGAAGAATGAGAATCAAGGCTTAAATTAAAATAAAAGTGTGCCAGAAGGTGTTGGCGCACAGCACCAGGGAATTTTCAAAGCGCCTGTAGACGTCATCAGCAGCGAAAAGGTTGAAATGATCTTTCCTACTTACCGAAAAGCATAGACAAGCCAATGAGAAAAAGATATCCCAATCGTTACAACCACGAACGTTTGAAAGACCGAACCGCGTATTAGAAAAACACTCTACAGCAAAAATCAACAAACGACTCTCCGAACTCTCGAACATCCACCTTTCCCCTGACCACGTTCAATTCCTCGTCCAATGGACAAAGATCTCGCCCCAATCTCTCCCGCTTTCTTCGAAGAAGAGCGATTTCCCTTTGTTCCCGAAAACGAATGTACACATTACACGTCTCGCTACGAGAAAAAAGAAAATAGAACAGGGACAACGATCGACGAGCGCGCAACCACAGAGAGTCACCAAACGGTGACTTTCAATCCACTCTTAATTCACCGACACCAACAAGAAGGCGGGGAATATCTCTTCGGAGAATGAATTCGTACCTCTCTCGTCGACGTTTCCCCCGTTTCGGTGAAGTAACGATGACGGCGATCGATCAACCGGTACGAAGAAAAGAAAGGGTGGAAAAGCCCACGTACGACGATCGTTCACTACCCGTGGCGATAGTAGATCTTGTCCTTGCAATTGCACGTGGCACCGCAGAACTTCCGTCGCTCGCGACCCTTGTTCGTGTTCGTCTCACAGACCCAGGAACGAAACGTCCTGGCCATCTCGGCGCAGTTCTGCCAGAGATCGGTGTAGTAGCATGCGTTTGTGCACAGCTTGTTGCGCGTGCAGTGGTCCTTGCACATGCTGCAAGGCTTACCAGGCAGGTACGGATGGCCCAGTCTACCCTTGGAGTTGCCGCTGCAAGTGAGAGAAATTGGGAAGTGATTAGAGATCGTTGATCGTCGAAAAATTTCTGGCTCGTTAGGTACGAGGTGTGACGAGAAAGTTTCGTTGAAATTTCTGGGGAATTTAATCGTTTAACCCTTACGGATCTGTCGTTTCGGAATATGCTTCCGCTCTACGGATACTCTCGTCGCGAATAAGGTTCGACTGTATATTTGATCGCGGAGGGATATTGCAATGTAATTTTGACCATAGAGATAAAACACCGATACTGTGCTCGACCGAAGCTGTAAACCGATGCAAAATAGCAATGGGTGACTGTAGAAAGGGTTAATCTTTAATAAAAGGAGCATCTTTTAGACGTCTCTTCTTTCAAACGATATTCAGGTCTTCTTATATTATCAATACGTTTGTCATTTTAATCGTAATGTATTTGTATAGTTTTACACAGTATAATGCCTGGTAAAATGAGAAAAATGTGGTTCGGCTTGCGTACGAAGAAGATTTTAGCGTTGGGTCATATTTGACCCACCATCCGCTGTCCGACAGTTAAGGTGGATGAATCGGTAAGGATATTTTTTTATATAATTTTTTATTATTACGTTATTGAGTTGTATCGTTTCGCCAGGGTTGTCACAGTTGAAATTTTACGAGGAGCCAGAATTAATGGTTATTACAGAGAATTTTGCTTGGTAATAATGTAAGCATAAACAAATGAAATCAGATTTATGAAATAATAGATACACGGCACGTAACTCTCAAGTCACACGGCGTTGTAAAGGGTTAAGGAGACATACAAACAGGGTTTTACACACTGTGCATTAACACTAGAACTACCAAACCCGTGAAAATGGCGGATTTCTTCCTTTAAATTACAGAAATTGTCCAGATGCTTCTGTTCAAATGTACGTATAGTGTCTTTTGCTGAAACGAAGAAATGATTACACACACTACCGGCCAAAAGTTTCGAATCACTGAGCATTGCAATTTACACAAAAATTTCCAGAAAAAAGTCAGCGACTTTGAGAATTTTTTATCATTCGAATCAATTGATAAATGTAGAATTGAGATAAACTTCTTTGGAAGTGACGTGGTGCAAATGATTACTCGGAAAGTGGGTAACAACAATATATTTATTTAAACGTAATGCTTAAGCTAATTTCAAATGTAAACTACATGATGCGCGTGCAGAGAAGCTCTACGACAAAAGGCCTCGTGCCTTTTTCGTGGCTCCCTTAAGTAGCCCCTTTTCCTTGGGAAAGAGATTTAATATTGATGAAAAGTGGGTGGTGATTCCAAACTTTTGGCCGGTAGTGTATGCCAATTTATTTTCCATTAATGACCGTCATTCTGAAGTTCTTTGTACAGTCTTATCTAAATATACCAGAAGGGACAAAATTAAATGCCAGCGGCCTGTAAATATGTCGAAGCTGATATTTCTTATCGACTGGGCTAAACATATACCGAAAGTTTGGATTCACCTGCTAATTTATATTAATACTGAATCTGCTACTAATTCTTTATTGATCTGAAATTGATACTGAGAAGATCAATTTACCTCATTTCGATTGATTTGAATGATAAGAAATTCGTTGGAAAATTATTACAAATGCTAACCTTCCTGGGGAATTTTTGCACAGTGATTCCAAACATTTGGCCGGTAGTGTATACACATACAAACATGCTTCAAATTTGGCAAAAAAGTATCTGATATTTTCCAAATTACAACCACTGTTGCAAAGCGACGTAACACAGTCGAAAATCTTAAAACGTACACGTGTCAGTTTTCGCGTAAACAACTCAGAGTGTAATTCAGAGTACCTTTCAGCCCTCCCACAACTCGATCGAAAAAGAACAACTTCCACAGCTCGTAATCATCCCCGCGTTTCGTCAAAAACACGACACGAAGTCTCCCTCCAACTCGTTCATTTCCCTCCCTCCGTCAATTTCAGCCCTACAGCAAAATCCTCCCCTAATAACCTTCCCGCGTTTACCTTCTCGTCTTCCAGCTCTCCAGCAATCTTTACTTCAACTTTACCTTCCGACAATTAAGTCGCGACGTTTCACGATTTCAGCTCGCAATCGTCGAATAACTTTCTCCCCATCCGGTGGACTCTCTCTCTACCTTTTCTCCGCGCGGCGACAAACAGCTCCAGAACGAGCTTAAACCAATCTCCCCAAGGGAGTCGCGATTAATTTACATTTAGAGTATTTTTCGTGGGCGGTCTCGCGATCGTCGCGCGCGTCGCTTTGAATTCAAATGGCTCGCCGCGAAATTAATTACGAGACCGGTGGAGAGAGAGAGAGGAAAAAATAGTACGCCGCGTGACACGCTTTATTTATTGTCTACTGGTGGAGGAGGGGGGCATGGGATATCGCGGCACGAATTAGGGGAATTAAACGCCGCTGGAATGGAGAAATCGAGTATTCGAAAGAGAGAGAGAGCGGTTTAACAATTGCTAGCTTAGAATTTTGCTCTTGTTTCGAAGGGAAAACTGTGGTCAGGAGAGCTGAGAAGAAGGGACATTTGTTTCTCTAGGTTTTTTGCGTCGTTTGGATCCTTTGGTGGCTGAATTGTTTTTTTTTTTCTGTGGAGCTAGGTTGAATTCTAGCTTGATTCAGATGGAAATGTCGTAGTATAAGGAATATGTATAGTGATGAGGTGGGTGAGGAGCGTCGTTGCACTGTTTTCACCTCAATTTACTAAAATATAAGTGTTATGGTCGGCGTACAATTTGTCCAGAAAATACAATCGTTTTATTCCTTAATTGTCCCTGCGGCAGCGGTTCGGCGGGTACGTCGCGATGGTTGGTAAAGGAAAAACTGACCTGAGGTGTAGGTGTACTGGGTTTTTATATTGTTAGGACAGGGAGAGACAGGAGTAGAGATGGATAAAGATAGAAATGGAGAAAGTGGTGGAAATGGAAAATTTGGATGCCACATGTGCGCTTCTTAGGCTACTCGAGGACGAAGGCAAGTCTTAACCCGGGGAGAGACAAAAGAAGGGAAACTAAAATCTGAAGGGGTTGGAAAAGAGGAAGCTCGCGTGGAAGAATAGAACAAGGTTCGGTAAGGGCTTGTTGGCAGTGTGATACTAATTTTGGCGGAGAAATGTAATTTAAATTATATCTAACGATTTCGCGACACTTATGAATGGCAGTGTATGCGATCTTCATTTTACAATTAAGTAATCTTTTCTAGAAATGCTCCTTACTTTAACTAGATGACAAATTATCGTTTATACAGCCTGTCGATAAACTTTCGTTATCAGTTTACTCATAATAATTAAACAATAACAATTTTTTATTTATCTGCTGATCATCGTGTGTTTAACAGAGATCGAGATCTAAATTGAGATCAATTCTTGTTCGAGTACTCAAGTGTGACACATGCGTTCCACTGGTCACGAAAGGGTTAAAAGAAACTCGAAAAACTTTCGTTCGAAAAATTTCAAAAATTCTCATTTTTTCGAAGGCAATATTTTCCAATATTGAAATATCAATTTTTAGTTTTAGTTTTCTATCTTGTAAACTGCCCTTTTGGTACGAAATCGAACCAGAATAACAGTTACCCTTTTGCAGAAGAGAAACCGGAGTTTTTTCGTGAATAAAAATATCACTCGATGCTAGAAACGTCAGAAAATGTGATTCAAAAAGGTTGACACCAATGCCTCTTTTGATTTCGTTCAAAAGAATTCGTGAAAATTACCCATTCTCAGCTATTCAAATCAGAACCCTCGCCGTTAACGCCGAAGTTTCGCTGACTTTCATACTTCGAATTATTAAAAATTTTTGCTGATCTAGATTTGATCAAATTTCAATTAAATTTTCACTGATAATATTGGAGTTATATCGTGTTCTACTAGATGACAAAATATTCTCGTTTACTTAATTCTTTTAATAAATTTTATAAAGAAGAAATGTTTTACAATAATCAAATATATATATCTTGTTAATTATGCAAAATTTGTAGCACAAAGGTGCACACAATAAACGCAAATATATAAATAAACCCAAAATATAGTACTCGCTATAATATTTAACGAATAAAACAGCTGTCTACCTAGCTTCTGTATTTTTAAAATTATATTCGCAAAAATCTGAATTTGCATAAAATTCCGCGGTCTATTAATTACCGCGTGATTATTTTCTTAAGCGAATCTAGAACTGGTTTCATAAAGAGCGCGGAAAAATGTAATTCCGAAAGAATAATCGTTCGTTCCGCATGGCTGTTGCGTTAAGAACATGGAAAGCTTTTCTGAAGCACGATCCAAGGCGAACAGAATTAATTTTGAAAATGTGCTCCTGCGTCACGATGGTTCAGAATATTACCTTCGGATATTATCTCAGAATACTACGGTGTAACGCGATAATATTTACCAATTTTGCAACGGTTAGCGGTGATATTTTGGAAATTCCCCAAGCAAAGAAGAGAAGTTAAATTAAAAATCGAGGAAGATGGTGAATAAATTGCGAAGAATTAAAGATTACGCGAAATCAGCGAATAAAAGACAAGAAAACCGAATTAAAAATCGAAGAAGACGGCGAACGAGCTGCGAGGAATTAAATATTACGCGAAATTAATTAGAAGTGTCGTTCGTGTTTCAGATATTCGAGGCGATATTTTCTTTCTTTCTTCATTACAAAATTCGGAACAATCGAACCGAGACGGTAGAAACTTCGTTCAACCGGATTAATCGGGGAAAAAAACGAGCTGAACTGTTCGGGGACCCAATGGATTCTAGGAAAAATTTTACGATAAAATCGCAGGAACAGCAGTGTTTTAAATATCGTCACGCTTGATTTAAAACGGGATAAAACTTCATCCGTTGCACCGTTCAAGAAGAATTTGTCAACTGAGATTAATCAGAGGCGCGACAAAAAGAAATCGCTTCTGCGGTCAAATTTAATATCGTGAACCAGGCAACGTATAAAAATACGCAAGTATTGTAATAAATTTTTACAAACTACACACGTTGAAAGTTTCATTATCATTTCACACAACCAACCCACCGA